AGATGGTTATATGTTCCCGTGTTTAATTAAGGTGATTGGGAAAAGGCGCGCATGCACTGCCTTATTGAAGAAGGTGTAAGTTGTATGATATTAGAAGTCCACCTGAGATTGGCCAAACGCTATACCCCTTTTGAGGTTTTCCTCTTTCAGTGAAACGTTCAGGGCGGTTTTTGTTGGGTGTACTTTTATCACGTACAATATCAAGTAAATTCATCGAGTTGCTAATGACTCATACTTTGCTTTTGGAAAGTATGAACACTTAGTCCTGATGAAAGTCTAAGAATAAAACCACTTGGAGATATGCGATGAGCCTACAGAGGATGAGTATGGTTCTCGTCATTCAAGTGTGCCCTATTTGATTATGATTAAAGCATGGCTTAGTCTACGGATTTCAAGAATACGACAAGGATTGTTTACAATAACTGTCTAAAGCTGCCCAGAGATGGCTTAACCGATTTCATTTTCAACGGCATTCTAAAGCTGCCCAGAGATGACTTAATCCATCTCAGTTTCAACGACAGTCTAAAGCTACCCATAGATGGCTTAATCCATCTCAGTTTCAATGACAGTCGAAAGCCTTCCAGAGAAGGCTTAATCTATCTCAATTTCAATGGCAGTCTAAAGTGGCCCAGAGATGGCTTAACCCATCTCAGTTTCAACGGCAGTCTAAAACTATCTAGAGATGGCTTAACCCATCCCAGTTTCAACGGCAGTCTAAAGCTGTCTAGAGATGGCTTAACCCATCTCAGTCTCAACAATAGTCTAAAGCTACCCAAAGATGGCCTAACTCATCTCAGTTTCAACGGCAGTCTAAAGCTACCTAGAGACGGCAGTCTAAAGCTACCCAAAGATGGCTTAACCCATGTCAGCCTCAATATTTGCCTAGAGATGGCTTAACCCATCTCAATTTTAACGGCAGTCTAAAGCTGCCTAGAGATGGCTTAACCCATCTCAGTTTTAATAGAAATCGAAAGCTGCACAGAGATGGCTTAATCCATCTCAGTTTCAACCGCTGTCTAAAAGGTGCTTTGAGATGGCTTAACCCATCTCCATTCCAACGACGGTCTAAAAGCTATTTAGAGATGGCTTAATCCATCTCAGTTTCAACAACAGTCTTGAACTATCCGACAATATCTTAACCCATCATTAATATCATTGTTCGGCAGTTAAGCCTTAAAAGCTTTATAGATTATACGACAAATCGGTTTCCACAAAAAGGAAATTATTTCTTTGGGAACAAGGAATTTTATCAACACTGGTGAACTCAAGGCTCCTTGCTTTATCACTCTTAAAAGGTTAGCATGGATTGAGTTGAACAACAGAAGTGGCTACAACCCACTAACATCAACATTCATAATTCTACTCCTATGAAATCATGGGGTTCGAAGGTTAGAGAAGCGACAGCAATTGCATCTACGAGGATAACTTAGAAGAGAGATCAATAGCGTGAGGAGATAAATACAAAAGGTAAACCGTGTTATGAAGATAAAGATCGCGCCCTACAAGATTTGTAATTCAAATAAGTAGATAAACTCAAGATGAAGATAGAGGGTAAAGATCTGAAGATAATAAGTGTGTGGTTATCTCTCGAATAACCATAATTTAGCACTATAAAAGGAGGTACTTCTCGGGTTGAAGCGGAGGTCACACTTTTGAGAGACACAGTTTAATAGAGAGATATTCTTCAAAGGTTGTACCTCGGTAAGAATCAAGAGTAGAGAAGAGAGTAGTATTCAAGATGTGAGGAGAGGATAATTATCTCCTACGATTCACTTGAGACCCGTTCTCTTTTGAAGACCAGACTCGAAGGATAATAAGTCCCTACTTACAGGTATATGGGTCAATATGCCCTCGACGTTATCTGTTCCCTTTAACATATCTGTATTTTCTTCTTTAGAAATGGATGTATAGGTTTCAAAGTAAGAATCAAAGGTGTTCGTCTTATTTTAAGTCTTCAAAGTTGATATAAATATAACAGAAGATTAAGCCTCTAGTATTGCTCAGTGCCCAATATAAATAATAAAGCATGTGTTTCTGATATGAAGTGCAACGGTGAATTTGGCCCCGAATGTGATGTCCACTAGTTTTCCATCTAGAATTTAATGTTCGTCTAAACATTTCGTATTTCTTTTAATGCATCCACATTTCGGAGCAACCAATGAGTCAAACCATGATCTATGTCGGAATATGTGATAGGTAGCTCCACTATTAAGTATCCAATTTTGATAGAATATAGAATTGTATGCCACCATCAATACTTCATCTTCAAAGAGTTCAAATGTTGACTCTTCAACTTGATTTTCTTCATTCCAAGATTCAATTTTCCTTTCACCTCCCACATTAGGATTTTTGGAGAATTCATCCATTTCATTTAAAACCAATATTGTCGGATTCGCTTCGGACCTTCTTCGGTTTGATAAGAAAAAATGAAGCAATTCTGTGCTTCGACGAATTCGAGGGAAAACTTCGGTGTTTTTTTTAAAAAAATTGAATATAAATGAAGTATAAGTTTTTATATAAAAATACTATACAACCAAATTTGGGGGAAGATTTCGGTTTTTTGTTTTTTAATTCAATATAAATAAAATATAGATTTAATATATAAAATAATAAGAAATAAAAAAAATTATCAAAAATTTAAAAACTAAAGAAAAAAAATTCAATTATTTTATCAGATGAGAACATAACCACCCTTTCATATAAACTAGAGGGTAATTTTATTTTAATAAAAGTAGGATAGTTGTGGGATTTTGTAAAAACAAAAGAGATGGGCAACTGGTACCCATTGATGAGGGATGGGGCCACGTGGGTAATGAAGAATGTAACACGCCCCTCAAATTAGTTGGATTTGGGGCTAGTGCTCTCTCTTCGCAATTTAGTTTTTGGATAGCGTTTTGAAATTTGAATGGTGAAAGGTAGTGATAGTTGTTCACTTTGCTTCAATCATTAGGTAGAACCCAAAGACTTCGGGTGCTTCGCCCAAAACGAAGCAAATATAACAACATTGTTTAAAATAATTCTTTCTTATATGACCAAGCTCCCCACAATACCAATGCAGATTTTTGTTATTTGGCCCTCTTGATTATTATCGAGATTTTGAATTGCTTCTTGATTGATTCCTCAGCGAATCACCCCGTTCATTCCATCAACTTCTTGCCATAAGAGCTTCCGTCTTTTATTCCACATAACTTTCGAAAGATGCCTTCTTTCGAAGTTCATCGGCAAGGAGAGCACTATACAATAAGCCGAAATCAAGAGAATATTCGTTACTACAACTCAATATAGTAAAAAGATTGTCCTAGGACGAACAATATACAAAGTAAGGTGACAACTTTATCTTCATTCTCCATCTCACACCAATACTTTTAAGTTGACAAATAAAATTATTAAATTCATTTAAGTGTTCCGACAGTTTTGCATCCTCTTTCATTATCAAGTATACAATTTTCTTTTTAAGAAATTTTGGTTTGTGAGAGAATTTTTTGATACAAACTTTCTAATTTTTTCCACAAATTTTTTGTCATTTTTTCCCCAATAATATTAAACATCACTTCATTTCCCAAACATAAACAAATAGTGGCTCGTCCCTTCATATCAACTTCCTCTCAATCAGTATCAATCATATTTATCGTTTTCTTATATTTTTCAATTAATGTCCTTGATGTACTAATAAATTTTGTATTTTTAATTTTTAAATTTTTAAATTTTAAAATCATATTTCCCATTAAACTTCTCCTCCATAAACTTGTGAGTTACCACCACTTCCTTGATCTCTAATACCACTTGCTGGTACATTGGGATACCCCAAATTCTTGCTTAATGTGGTGAGCACTCCAGAACAATGAATCCAACAACCAAATAAAGTACCCAAAAACAATAATATGTACAATATATTTAGGAAATATAAAAATAGGAAAAAACAAGTAAAATGTGAAATTACCAAACTACAACAAAAAAAAAAGAAGTAAAAAGCACACAAAAAAATTTATTTGGTTTACCCAAATTGGGTTACATCCACGGGCAAGGGGGTATGATGCATTCATTATCAATAGAAGAAATTTACAAATTTGTGGTTTTGTAGCGATTACCAGATACAATGAAAAAAAAAAAGTAGGTATTTCCTTACACAATTTCACCATCAATTGACTTATTTTTTCGTCACCATCGACAAAGACCGTTGCCATGAAAAAATACTGATGAAAAACTGATCCAATACAAGGCTACAATGGTACTACAGTTTGTACGAAAAACCAGTTTCTATCCCCAAACTCCTCTATACTTTTTCTTATGTTTTCTCTCTTTACCAATGCACTTTTATGGGCTTCCATAAAAGGTATTTTTTTCATGATGAAAATACCCTCAACAAACAAGAAAATTTCAAATGGGGGGTGATTTGCATCAACCTCCCAACAAAGACTAGGGACCATATAGCCATTTTCACTAGAAAAAGATAAAAGAGTTACAAGCGTCATAGTACAACCCTATCATAGGGCACGTCTACTGCACCATAAGATAGTAACTTTACTAGAGGGAATAAAACTGCTTTAAGGATTTTGTGGGGGTTAAATAGCTGAAGGAGATTTTCTCAATTCAGGGAATTGGTGTAAAAAAGAAATAGAGATTCCATGGAAATTGTTGCAAAAAAAATAAGGGAATTCTAATGGTATCAAAAATTGAGTATTGCCGCAAGGTAGCTATCAAAGATGCAGATCATTTGGCTAAAGGAGGAGGAACACATCCCTCTATTACTATCACTACATTTTAATTTCGTTACTAACACTATGAATTATACTTGTGCAGATCTATAAAGCAGTTTCAATGAAAAGGTAGTACATTGAAATTAATTAAAAAAAATAAAGCCTGAATTATATGGCTCATCGCCAGCTTCATTCCCCCCTCTCTCTCTTCAAGGGTCATTGAGAGAGAGAGAGAGAGAGAGCGAGAGAGATGCACCTTCATATTCCTTCGAACGGAATGAGAGAGAGGGCGAGAAAGAGTACCGGAACGAGAACTGTCCTCCGTATCGCGAAGCATCCACTCTCCTGCTTCGTGAAGCTTCCTGGGAGTAGAGCCCTCTTCACGTCCAACACCAGGTTCTCGGACCATTTCTATGAGCTTTGCAGGTGTAGTTGTTGCCACACCCCTCCTATAACATAGAGACCATCAATTCAAGCTATGAATCACAGGAAGAAGCCAATGACTTAGTAGCAGAGAGAGAGAGAAGAACCTGGGGTTATGCTTATTATCGTGGAAGCTGCCAGCGCCAATGGCTCGCTCCACGTCTGCAACTGAGGGGCTGCGTGCTTGGCGCCTCGCGTGTGTGCAGAAAACAAGCTTGGAGGACGGCGATGAATATAGGCGGGATGTGATGCAGACTGAAGAGGAGAGAGGGAGATAAGCTTCCATTTTCTCTCTTCTGTTGTCTCTAATGGCAGAAGAAAAAGGATTGGAGAGGATAAGGAAGTGAACGGCAGCAAGGTCCCAAAAGTAGGACTCCAATAAAGATTTGGAAAAATTACGCACAGACCCTATTTGGCCCCTTTATTACGATGCGCTTAATAATTTAACAAATTTTATGTGGAGACCGCATCCACTCTGCTGTCATATTTTTTTGAGAATTGTCACTTGTCTGATATCAGACAGGGGGCAAATTCTGTAATTTAAATATTTTTTCTTTATTCAAGGCCTATTCAATATTAGAAATGCCAAGCAGCCTTAGCTGTTTAGGACTTGAAAAGCACGCCCGCCCTTCTCTTACTCGTTCTCTTTCTCTCTATCTAACCCTCGTTTTCGCTCTTCCTCTATATCTCTCAATCATTTTTATCATTTTTTCAAGTCATTTTTCTTAGTGTTAACGAAAAATTAATTAAATTAAAAGGGAAAATCACATCCACAAACAATTAAAAAAAAAAAATGAAAGAAAACCCCTTAAAAAAAACATAAGGTTGTTCGACATTACCAACATCAAACTACTCAACTAATAAGGTTGTTCAATATTTTTTATATTGAATAGGCCTTAAATAAACGAAAAACAAAAATAATTGAAGAATTTTTCATCCGTATTGAAAATATCGGACCGGAAGGGGGATTTTAGAAAAAAAAAGATTAGCGGGGTGGGGTGGTCTCCATATAATGTTTGCAAAAATATGTAGCACCTTGTAATAAAGGGTGCTAAAAAGGATCCATACATAATTTTTCCTATAATTTTCATTGATTTTGTAGAGGCGCTTTATAACTTGTGGGATAGGACAAGCCACCAACTGTTTTTGACGCCGGGTAATTGACTAGGTTCGGCTTACTAACAAATTAGAAAAGAAAAGCAAAATGAATGCAAAGAAAAAGGTAAAAATTTCAAATCTATAAATAGAATCTATAGGAACATTCATTAAAAAAAAGGGAAAAGTTTAAGGTTGTAACCTTAAAATGTAGAATTAACATGCACCTAAAAAATCGATCATAAAAGGCTATTTTGATGTTGGAAACCCCTTTAATTGACTATCTCAACATCAAGATGTATGAATATGAAAAGAAAAAAAGACTTTGAGTCTTAAAAGCAGTGTATCTTGGAACACATTATCTGGACCCCCTATTTTCAAAAGTTTCATGTGTTTATTAAACCATTTTTGAAGTTTAAATTTTCATAATTGGAAATCATAATAGATTCTCAAGCCATCTTAAGAATTTTTGTACCAAAATTATATTTATGATAAACTTTGGCTGCCCGCTTTAATTTGATTGTTTAAGGTTGCAACCTTATGCAACCACACCCAAAAAATAATGGCTTTAAAAGGGGACAAAAAAAATTAACATAATGTTTAAGTCTATTTGGCAAAGTCCCAAGTTGGAGACAGAATTGGACCACTTGGAGATAAAATTAGACCGGCAAGTTTTGAAGGACTGCATATACCTAAATAAATTTGAAAAGAAATGCATGAAACACGAGGTGCTCTACTTGACCTACTAAACCGTTAGGAACCGGTTGGATTTCTCCTTTTTAGCCACAAGCATAAATTGCCTTAATGTGGGGCGCCTGCATGCTGGATTAACAGGCCATTAACTTTTTCCTTTTTATCGGTGATGGATTTGATGGTCCACCATTTATGTATGGGTGGACCTCCATGCAATTAGGTTATTTGTTGTAGAGGGAGAAAAGCGAAATTTGTCTTTTAATAGTTGGTTGAAAATTTATCCAACGATAATTCCACATGGTTAAGTAGTTTAACTTCCATAAGACGGAGATAACCACAGGGAGGGAATAAAAGGGTAGATCCTCGGTTGTAGAGAAAGAGGGAAGTTGGTTGAATATACCTCGCAAGGCTTTTCTAATGTGGCTCTCCCTAAAAGGAGACCATAGACATATGTCGCTTTCTCTTCTCTCTTTCAGGAAACCCTAGTGAAAAAGGATACTCCTTCGGCAAAGTGAGAATCATTGGGCTATCTATCGACACTCTGTACTTGTGTTGTGGCCAATCTGCGTGGTTGTCTTGTGCATCTGGATCTTTTTTGTTGTTAACATTATGGTTTTTTAGGTAATTTAGTGGGAAAGACAGACCTCTATCTTTTTTTTCAAATAGTTTAGAAATTAGTTTTTGTTAAGACATTAGTGAGGTGGTGTAAGTGGAAATGAAAACCACAACATGGAGACTAGGGTGTGAGCGTGCTACCTATTGGTACATATGGGTGGCCATGGGCCCTCATAGATGCTATTTTTTTTCTCTTTAATCTTTATCATAAATAGTATGTTTATCACTAAATAAGGTCTTTACATGCTATTTTTTCTCTATTTAATCTCTATGATAAATATTACCTTTATCACTAAATAAAGTCATTTTTAGAGATAGAAGAGTCATCATCTACCGGGTAGATGATAACTACCCACCTCACATTCCTCAGAGTTTTGAGGAGAAAGCCGAACATTGGAGAACGGTCTCCTTTATCCCTCTATAACTTGGCCTTTCATGGTCATGGAGAGGCACAAGCAGAGAAGCTTTGAACGGCCTCCTCTATCCCTCCCTCTATAGCAAAGCCTTTCATGGCCATGGAGAGGTATAAGCAGAGAAGCTTTGAGTTTTTATTGTTCAGAAGTATCAGAGCCCGTTGAAATGTCACTCTTGTGACAAAGCCCGGTTATCTTTTGTGATTTACATAAGGCTAGCAAAATTCTAGTTGGATTTCTCCAATCGCCTAAGCCAAGAGTCATATCCATTTATTTTTTCGTTATTAGCTTTATGGTAGAATGATCGTACCATCACTCAATTTCCCATCTCGTTGTTATCATAAAATAACCTCACGGATTCGCTGAAATCTTGTAAAATTCACTAAAATTTGCTGATATTATTTATTGGTGTTTCTATTAGTGTTTTCTCTGTTATTAAATCATGAAGGCTGCAAAGTAATAACCATATCCTTATCTTTATTGACTTTTCAAACTCAAATAGAGTTATCAGTTATCTCTGCATTGGGTTTCTTCTCTCGTTTTTTGTTTTTCATTTACTTTTTCATTGATCTGCAGTGCTGCAAGGATAAGATTTTATTGTGGAAAGATAATATTTTATTGTGGAAGTTTTACTTCATCCCTTCTTGACTTGATTGTTTCAAGATAATTGATAAGTGTGTAAGTTTCACTCTCAGCAAAACTAAGACTTTCCTTTTTTTTTCTTTTTTCTTTGTTTTCTCTAAGATATTTTCCATCTTGCACTTAGAAGACTATTGTTGTTAATAAGATTGAACCACTATTGACTTCATTGCAGTGAATTTCACTGCTGTTTTGACTCAATATCTTTTCTCTCTAAGATATTCTTTGTATATATTTTTTATGAGTTCTTCTTTATCTATTCAAAGTGTGAGTATTTTCCTAGCAGTCAATCGCATACTGTTATCGTTTTACTCTACATGCCATTGGTCCACTGTTGTTGTCCTCTATGCGTCATTGGCCTACTGTTGTTGCTGTCCATATTGTTCAAGTCTATCTTTTAGACCTTTCCTTAAAACGGTTCAAGGGAAGCCATTAACATTGGCTGCCCAAAATTCTTCTACGATGTCCATGGTAGCTAAGCACCCATGCTTACTTTTCTTGGATGGTGAGAATCTAAATTTCCTTATTCTTATATACTCTTTATTGACCATGAACTGCTAAAAATCCATTGGCTTACATCCTTTTTCTTTCATTTTTTGTAGCTGAAAATTAGTGCATACTTTTATTGGATTATTGAAAATTGTTATGCACACAACAACTATTCGAATAAACGTCAACATATCAATTGCATGTATTTTTTTTTGTGGCTTATAATTTAGGGATTTTCTACATATTTTATTTGCATAATTGTTATCATTGCATTGCATAATTATTCTATGCTTCGGTCTTTTTTAAGTAAGAAAATTTCATGATCTTGATTTTGTGAATTCATTTTTTGTGATTTATGTTATGCCATATTTTTGTTGAAAAATAATTAAATATCATTGTAGACTCTCTCTCTAGAGCTAAAACATATATTTATGAAAATTAGTCTTATGCAAGAATTACATAAAGATAGGGCTATTGCTGGAATTTTAGAGAGTCAAAACTCTTGATATTTTTAAAGAGAGACAGAATTGTCGTTGGAATTTTAGAGAGAGAGAGATCAAGAGACATATAGCTGCAGTCAATAATTTATTTTTAGCTGCTATGTATATATATATATATATATATATTATATGCTTTGATTATGATTCATTGTGTGTCCTCGCTCGAGTTACAAGCCCACGCTACTGAGCCCAGCTTTCTTTTTATGGTTTTCGATTCGAGATCAAATTGTTGCTTCGAGATATACAATTCCTTCTCTCCTAAAGTACCTATTTGATGATGTTGTGAACACATTTGTGTTTTATGACAGCCGCATGGCAACATTTGTAAATATGTTCATGTAAATGAGCCTTAGAGCTCCGGAAAGTGCCATTGCTACTCACATTTGATATATTATGACTTAAGCCCTGTAATCATGTTACCTGGCACAACCAAATCTTCAGAAATGGATTATGGTGATGGTAGTGTGAAGTAAACATATTCACTGATGCTATGAATCCATATCAAGTATTGCTTGATTTGCATCAAGTAACTTCTAAGGGGCTTGTTTGCATTTATAATTGAGAGAAGGAAAGTTTGAATACGTGTGAGTGACTATCTTTGTTTTCTTGTCAAACATTGACTAGAATTACCTTCTCAAAAATACCTTTACATTGTTGTGATAGGGCACATACAAAAACTTGTAGTAGTGAACTATCACTCTAATATTGTAAACCTATAACATTTTTATTTATTTTTTGTATAGGAGGGGCATATCTTGCACACAACGCTACTATTCATGGAGTTTGGGTACCACATTATGGACTCATATTGGTGGGCACCTAATTAAGCTTTCAAGGATTTACCCAAAGGGAGGGTATAGATTATGTAGAGACTTATTCTCCAATAGCAAGATTTTCATCTTTTAGGATCATCCTAACATTAGTTGCATATTATGATCTAGAATTATTCTAGATGGATG